TCGGAGCTGCAGAGGAGACACACGTGTACAGACCTGGGTGAACTGACAAGCTATCTTGGCTTGCGGATCACCCGGGACAGAGCACGGCGCACCATCACCTTGACTCATGCACATATGGTGCAGCAGATCCTTCAGCGCTTCCGCTTCACGTACTCCTCGCCTCAGTCCACTCCTCTGCCTACCGGTCACTCGCTCTCAGCTCTGCCTTCGGATGAGTCCGTAGAGCCGAGTGGCCCGTATCCAGAGCTTGTGGGCTGCCTCATGTACCTGATGACCTGCACTCGACCTGACCTTGCATACCCTCTTAGCATCCTTGCACGCTATGTCACTCCTGGCCGTCACAGGAAGGAGCACATGGATGCCGCTAAGAGGGTGTTGCGCTACTTGTGCAGTACGTCGGGCATGGGGCTAGTGCTTGGAGGGCGAGACCGAGTTGTACTTACAGGACACTCAGACGCTTCTTGGGCGGACGACCAGGCTACTCAGCGGTCGTCTCAGGGTTACACCTTCAGCCTTGGCTCCGGCTCAGTTTCTTGGCGTTCTACACGCTCTTCTTCTGTTCTCAGCTCCAGTTGTGAGGCTGAGATCTACGCCACAGCCATGGCTGCCCAGGAGCTACGCTGGCTGACCTACCTGCTGACCGACTTGGGTGAGCGGCCTCGTTCTCCTCCAGTGCTGTACGTCGACAACCAGGCTGCCATTGCCTTGTGTGAGGAGCACAGACTGGAGCACAGAACGAAGCACATCGCCCTGCGGTACTTCCTTGCTCGAGAGCTGCAGCAGCGCGGTCAGCTTTGTCTGCGTTACGTGGCCACTGAGGCCAACCTTGCTGATGTGTTCACCAAGGCGCTTCAGCCTTGTGACCATCAGCGCTTCTGCACTCTGCTAGGCCTTGTGCCTACTGGACCTCACTTACTTACCTCTTGACCTTGCTTGTACTGTGATCACTATATATATATCTACCTGCATGTTTACTCTTGCTAGGTTGTGATCACTGTATCTCATGCTCTGTTATAAACCTGCATGTGAACTGGTCTTGTGACCACTAGCTTGTGCTCGGAATTTGTGTGGTATCCTTGAGATCCACCCTGAGCTTGTTGTTGCCTTGCTTTGCCTTGACTGGTCTTGTGACCCCTAGGTCTCCCCCACTTTGCCTATGGGGGTGTGTCAAACATTATATGTGTTGTGTTTGTGTAGGCTGTAGTGGGTTAGCCTATAGGGGGGTCACAACATTAGGGTTTCATATTTGTACTCACAATCCTTTCTAGTTCACCATTCCAGTCTGTTGTTACGACAGTTTGTTCTATTGCATGGAATTTATCTGGGATCATCTCTGGTTGTTCCCAGGTTGATTCCCAAGATCCTTGCTAGCCCTAGCTCAATATTTGTTCTTTATTTGTACTTTGTATTTAGTCAAACTGATTCAAGCGGATTCCTTCCTTCCTAGAATGTTATTTCTACGCGGTTTGACAACAGAATGCTACCCAATTAAACACGCTACACTAGTACTACGATGCTACGCCAACGCTGTCTGAGCTACAGTATAACTCCATAATCGCTTAATTTGTCGCGAGACAACTTGGCTCATTTAAAAGTTTTGGAGCAAGGTTCGATAAAGGAAATTTTCAGATTAATCCGATCGACGGTCGGCATGGCACGCTGCACAACGTACAAGGTGCTCTTGTTATTTTAACTAAGGTGTTCTTGGCTCATCTCTTTACAAACTTGGACCCAAAGATAGGGGCTGGTCTTGCACCAAGCACCTAGGGACCCTTGGGAGTGATCCCAAGGAGAGGTTTTAAGTTTGATTAAGTTTTTTTAAGTTGAGTTTATCAAGCCCTTACAATAACAAGCTGGTATCAGAGCTGATGTTGGTGGGGAGTGCCTTGGCGGGGAATGCCTTGGTGGGAGTTGTTGAATCTTCAGCCCATGATCGTAGCAACAGCCAAGATTCTAGTGTTTTGGTGCCAAGAGCAGTGCGAATAAACTAAGGCTTGCTGACCAATGAGGTGCTGAAGAACTTCATTGTCGAGAAGTTCAAAAGTGAGAGCGATTATGATTGGGCGTGGAAACTGCAACTTTAATTCCGTCAGATCGATTTGCCGGAACGTATGCTCGGTGAGGAGCCCAGACTGAGTGATTCGCGTTGCAGGAAGATTGGGACGAGCGCGCCTCGGCTGGCTACTACTTGATGTCCCAGAGTTTTTTAGCTGAGCAAGCGTCACCACGTCATGCACATGCTACCGGAGGTGTGAAGGCGTGGACCATGTTGAAGTAGCTGCACACCCCAACCTCCGTTGTTGCAACGTTGATGCTGGAGAGGCGTGTCCACATTGCGCTTGAGCGAAGGAGAGCCGATGCAACCTGTCCTGGAGCTCGATGCAAAGTTGAGGACCACGAGAACCACCTATTCAGAGAAAATCAAGTCCTTGAATATGTTCTGGCTGCTGCCGGAATCGTGGCTTCAATTCACAAGCGGATTAAGCCTGCCGTAGAACCAGAGCTTGTGGACGCTCGAGTGGGTGCGGACGAAGATTCTGGAGGAGGACTTCCGTCGCCGCCAATTGAGAGGTGGAGAGGTCAGCAGCAACGACTATGGGATGCAAAGGAGCCGACGTGGCAGAGAACGAGACTTTGGTAGTGCTGGGCGTGGTGCAAAGAAGGGCAACGACTCCAACGACCAAGAAGAAGGTACCAGTACGGGTCGCGGTGCGAAATCTGGACGTGGGGGCAAATCGGGTGCTGGTGGCAAAATGAAAGGGGAACTGCTGGTATTGTGAGAACGAGGGGCATCCCTAGTTCTTGTGCTATAAGAAATGAGATCGATGGAACCCCCTGAATCGTCAACAGGATGGCAGCGTGCGGAGGAACAGGAAATGCGGGGTGAACGTGGTCGTTGGTTTGTCCAACAACATCCCGAAGGGCGACGGCAGTGTTGAGAAAAAAAAGGAGCACGTCGCGAGCCAATTCTTCCATGTCCGAGACAAGGGGGAGCAAGAAGACAGCTCTGCCAAGGTTGGAGCGGAGCACCCGTTGTTTTTTCTTGGACGATGATGCCGCAGAAGGACCTGCTGGATGACGTACGCGCTGTACCAATCAATGAGGTGTGCTCCACCTCGGGACACGCGTTGAATGTGACTAGTGCGGGACGAGCTGCATTTAAGGGAGCGGATGGCAAGCCGGTGGTGCTGCACGACGTTCTGCTCGTCTCTGACCTCAAGTAAAATCTGATTTCCCTCCATAAGCTTGACAAGGTTGGGTGAGCACCAGCACAGATGAGGCTCGCACTTACAAAGAGCAGCGGGGCAATTGGGTGCTCCGGGATCTGCACGAGAGCAAAGATGTGTACAGATCTATATGGCAGCTCCCCGCATTGGCGTGGCACGGTGGAGGTTGGCTGGAGAAGGGTCTGCATTCTAGGGGGAGTGAAACAATGTTGGAGGGTTTAGTATGAAGGTGTCAGCTAGATCTGGGGAGATAAACTGAGCAATGGCACACCAACGTTTCGGACAGGTGGAGGAGGCCAGAACTGCTTAAGCACGTGCGAGAAAGGATGATGTTTTGAAGCTGAACGGACAGCCACCTGATGAGAACTGTGAAATTTATCTGCTTTCGAAATTCACCCGTAACCCGAATCCTAGTGTGGATGGCTGGAGCATGAAGCGGTTGGAGCTGGTTCAAATGGACTTGGTGGGGCCGCTGCCTGTTCAGGGACACAAGGGGGAGCGGTACTTCCTGACCATAGTGGATGACTGCAGCAGGTTGATGTGGGCATATCCGCTGACGCAGAGGGGACACACTGCCTCCACGATACCGGACGATCGGCTGCCATTTGTGGAGAAGCACGCGGAGTGTGTGGTGAAGCAGATAAGGACAGACCGAGGTGGTGAGTTTCTTGGAGGTGAGATGACGGCCTGACTTGGAAGCGGGGCATCTAGAGGGAACTGACGACGGCTTACACCCCATGGTCCAACAGTATAGCAGAACGGGCGAACCGGACCATTCAAGAGACATCTAAGGCGCTGCTCAGAGAACGTGGGCTAGGTAATTCCATGTGGCTCCATGTTGTTCCACGTGGCTAGGAACAGGGTGCCCACTAAGATTGGTGATGACTCGTAGGCCCCTTTGGGGAGGTGGCTTGGAAGGATGCCGCCGGTGGACATGCTGCGGATGTTCGGTTGCATGGCAGTCTTCAAAGAACTACCGCAATAAGTTGAGGGGGAGTGCAATCTGGTGTGTGCATTTGGGGCTAGCTGTTAGGAGCAAGGGATGGCTGATGTGGGGCCCATCCAATCGTGTCATGTTGTACAGCTGGAATGCGAAATTCATCGAGGGCATGATGTATGGGAGCTGGCAGAAACAACCGGAATGTTGGTGTAAGGGCCCAAAAAACTCAAGTTATTCAAACTTCATCAAACTTTAGAGCACTCCTCCGGGTCACCTCCAAGGGTCCCTGGGTGCCTGGTAGAAGACCAGCCCCTATCCTCGGGTTCGAGTTTGTTGAGAGAGGAGTCAAGGTTGACTTGCCAAAATAGCAAGAGTACCTTATATGTTGCAAAGCGTGCCGTGCAGACCGTCGATCCGATTAAGTTGAGAATTTGCTAAACCGAAGCTCGCCCCAACAGCTTAAAAAAAATGCCAAGTTGCCTCGCGAAAAGTTCAGCCATTACAAAATGATGGATTGGACAGTGTTGGCCTAGCGTTTTAGTGCTAGCACACTAGCGTTTACTCGTGTAGCATTCCGCTGTCAAACCGCGTAGAATCAAAATTTCAGCAAGGAAGGAATCCGCTTGAATCAATTGACTATATGTTAAGTACAAACAAAGAAGGAATCAATAGCTAGAACTAGCAGGTATCTTGGGAATCAACTTAGGAACAACCAAGGATGATCTTAAATAATTCCAAGCAATAGAACCAACCTGGCTGGACAAAATAGTGGTGTTGGGTTGGTAAACAACCTCTGGTTCTGTTTTTCCAATCTGGGAAAACAACAACCAGGTTCAGGTCCTAATAACAGAACCTCGTTTATTATTATTATTATTATTATTATTATTATTATTATTATTATTATTATTATTATTATTATTATTATTATTATTATTATTATTATTATTATTATTATTATTATTATTATTATTATTATTATTATTATTATTATTATTATTATTATTATTATTATTATTATTATTATTATTTAAATTCCCCAAACTGCCAAATGCTGGATCCACTGGTTTCCCCTGGCCCTATATCATGCCGAGACAAACAAACAACATCCAACCTCCACCTAATTTTCACCCCCAAAGTGCCTACCCTGTTATGCACACTATAGTCAACCAAACAAAACAATACAGTTTCGAGTTGGATGTAACTGAGTCTGCGCATTCAAATGGACCGAACTTCAAAGCTTCCATCTTGGGTTCCTTTGCGAGCTCACCCTTTCTGCTTGCACTGTTTACAGCGAGTACAATAGTGTGCCGAAGCACATATTGCACGAGTACCTGCAAATGCTTCAAGCGAAAATTGTGAAAGCAAAGAAACACACGACCATACCATTCACGCGCGAATGCATTTGCATACGCATACACGTACAAATAAACGGCAAGATGTCGTGCAAAGTGAATTTGCACCCAACACACTCCCCCTCAGCCTGCTGGCTGCATCCCCACCATTCCATGCTATTTCATGTTCATTCCACTCATGCGTACACAATGACAACGAAGCTCATTTGCAAGCATGTTGGTGAAAAAGTCTGCTAGATGCTGGTGAGTCTTGCTGTATATTAGATTTAATATACCCCTCTTCACCTCCTTACGCAACCACTTGATACGCATGTGCTTGTTCAGCCCGTGAAGCACAGCGTTCCTGGACATCCCAAGAGGCCCTCTTGATGTCACAAAAGAGCGGTGTAGGCAAGAAAACAGTAGGCAGGCTCGTCCTCCTGATTAGGGCCATAGCCTCAATGCAAAATCAGTAACGCCTCCTCATTCCCAAGCTGCTGCTCTGCTACATCAGCTCCTGCAGTCAGCTTCTTAGTAGCCATACGGGTACGTCCTGGCCTGGAGAAGGGTGTTTCCCATTCCCTCATAACGACACCCTTCGGCTCCGTCCTTCGTGGTACCTTAAGCACCTTAGCTTTGCCCTGCTGCTGCTCTCCTCCCTCAGATCCACCAGCTCCATTGGTGCTACCACTAGTCTCCACACCATCTCCTCCACCAGCAGGTGCCTCCTGCACCTTCTCTCCATCACCACCCTCTGCAGCTGCCTCCTCTCCCTCCTCCCACACACTAGGAGTCAGGTCCAGTTGCATTATGATTTGCTCCATCTGCTGGGACTCCTTAGCCTCTGGTTGTTTCTCCCAGCTCCTATGCATCTTATTTCACATCCCTTGCTCTCAGCATCAAGCCCCAAATGCACACACCAGATTGCCCTTGCCCCCAACTTACTACAGTAATTTTTTGGGATGTGAGCAACTACCTTGCAACTGCCATGCAACCGAACACCCTCAGCATGTCCACCGGTGACTTCCTCCCAAGCCACCTCTTAAACGGCACCGGCAAATCATCACCAAACTTTGTGAGTACCCAGTTCCTAGCCACAGTAGCGTGCTAAACAACGTGGAGCCACATCGAATTGCCCAGCCTAGATTCTATAACCAACGCGGTAACTGTCTCTTAAATGGTCCAGTTTGCCAGTTCTGCTATCCCATTGGACTGTGGGGTGTAAGCCGTGGTCAGCTCCCTCTGGATGCCCTGCTTCTTGGGCCAGGCTATCATCTCAGCTCCAAGAAACTCACCACCCCGGTCTGCCCTAATCCGCTTCAACACACACCCCGCTTGCTTCTCCACAAATGGCAGCCAATCGTCCCGTATCATGGAGGCGGCGTGGTCCTTCTGCTTCAGCGGATACGCCCACATTAGCCTGCTCCAGTCATCCACTATGGTTAGAAAATACCGCTCCCCTTGCACCGGCAATGGTACCACCAAGTCTATATGGACCTGCTTCAAAGGCATGTTGCTCCTGCCAGCTATACTATGGAAGGGGAAACAGGTAAACTTGGAGAGAAAAGAGATTTCACAATGATCTGTCATTGGGTGGCTGTCCGTTCAGCTTCAGACCCTTGACGGCTCCATCCATCCCCAATTCTTTGAGCAAGGGCATTGCCACATGCCCCAAGCATCGGTGTGCTGTTGCCCGATCTGTTTCCCTAGATATGGCTGACACTTTCACACCAACCCCTCCAATGGTGTTGCATTCCCCCTGGGATGCAAACCCCTCTCTAGCCTGCTCCCCACCATGCCAGGCCAACACCGGCAGCTGCCACATAGATCTGTACACGTCCTTGCTCTCGTGTAGATCCCAAAGCACCTAATTCCCCAACTGCCTCTTATCGAGCCTCATCCGTGCTAGTGCTCACCCCAGCCTTGGCAAGCTTACGGAGGGAGATGAGGTTGGCCTTGAGGTCGGGGACGAGGAGAACGTCGTGCAGCACCACTGGCTTGCCATCCGCTCCCTTGAATACAGCTCGTCCCGCACCAGCCACCTTCAACGCGTGTTTGAAGCACGTACATAGCAGGTCCTTGCAAGGCGTCATCATCCAAGCAGCGCCCGTATCCAACACCCAAAAGTTCAGGGGGTGCAACTCCACTCCAACCTTGGCAGAGCCGTCTTCTTGCTCCCACTTCTCTCCAATATGGAAGAACTGGCCTGCGGTGCGCTCGTTCGCACCACTATTGCTCTTTGTCAAACATTATATATGTTGGTTGTTGTTAGGCTACAGTGGGTTAGACTATATGGGGTACACATCTCTAGGGTTTCCCATTTGTACTGCCTTCCTTGTTAGTTCAGCCCATTCCAGTCCGTTGATTCTGACATGGTATCAGAGCAGGTCCGTCACTAGGACCGCTTTAGGGCCCACCGTTACCCTACCTACCTACCTACTACCGTGCGCCCTCGTGCGCCCCCGTGCGCCCTCGTGCGCCCCCCGTGCGCCCTCGTGCGCCCTCGTACGCCCTCGTGCGCCTTTTTTCTCCTTGTGCGCCTTCGTGCGCCCTCGTGCGCCCTCGAGCCGCCGCTGCAGGCCCGTCAGCCCCCCGAGCCGCCGCTACAGGCCCGTCAGGCCCCCGAGCCGCCGCTGCAGACCCGTCAGGCCCGAGAGCCGCCCCTGCAGACTCTCGCCGCCCGTCGCGTCGCCCTCCCCGCGACGTCGTCACCTGCCAGCGGCGTCGTCGCCTAACCCTAATCCGCCCCGCGACGTCGACCCCTGCCCGCGACACCGTCGCCTGCCCGCGGAGGCGTTACCTAACCCTAATCCGCTGCCCGCGCACTGCCCGCGAGCTGCCAGCCGCTGCAGACTCTCGCCACCCGCCGCGTCGCCCTCCCCGTGGCGTCGTCGCCTCCCTACGGCCCGTCGTGGCCCCTTACCCGCCCGTCGCGGCCCTCCCAGCCGCCGTCGCGATCCCTCCGCCGCCCCTTCGCGGCTTCTACCTCGTCTGCAGCAGCTGCCGCCGCCGAACCTGCAGGAGCAGGCGCCGCCGACCTGCAGCAGCTGCCGCCGCCGAGCCTGTAGCAGCAGCCGCCGCCGAGCCTGTAGCAGCAGCCGCCGCCGATCTGCAGCAGCTGCCGCCGCTGACCCTGCAGCAGCAGCCGCCACTCGACCTGCAGCAGCTGCCGCCGCCGAGCCTACAGCAGCGGCCGCCGCCGACCCTGCAGCAGCTGCCGCGGAGCTCCCTGCTGCGACCTGGCCCCGTCCCGCTGGTGCAGCGGCCCCGCTGTCGCCACTGTCTTGCGCCCGCCGCACCGACCACTGGTGAGCTTTGCCCTGCCAGCACTGCTACCGTTACAGCTGCCGCTACTGCTGCTGCTCCTGACGTGGCCAGATGGAGCTCCAGCAGGCTCGTGAGTGGTACGCCAGTTGGGGCTGTCGGGGTGGCAGTCGTGGTAGTCGCTCTGACGTGCGTAGTTCGGGAGCCTCTGGTAGTGGACAGGTGCAGCAGCCGTGCCCTCCTACGGTCCAGCAGGCTCGTGAGTGGTACGCTAGTTGGGGCTGTCGGGGTGGCAGTCGTGGTAGTCGCCCTGACGTGCGTAGTTCGGGAGCCTCTGGTAGTGGACAGGTGCAGCAGCCGTGCCCTCCTACGGTCCAGCAGGCTCGTGAGTGGTACGCCAGTTGGGGCTGTCGGGGTGGCAGTCGTGGTAGTCGCCCTGACGTGCGTAGTTCGGGAGCCTCTGGTAGTGGACAGGTGCAGCAGCCGTGCCCTCCTACGGTCCAGCAGGCTCGTGAGTGGTACGCCAGTTGGGGCTGTCGGGGTGGCAGTCGTGGTAGTCGCTCTGACGTGCGTAGTTCGGGAGCCTCTGGTAGTGGACAGGTGCAGCAGCCGTGCCCTCCTACGGTCCAGCAGGCTCGTGAGTGGTACGCCAGTTGGGGCTATCGGGGTGGCCGTCGTGGTAGTCGCTCTGGCGTGCGTCGTTCGGGAGCTTCTAGTAGCGGACAGGTGCAGCTGCCGTGTCTTGTGAGTGACGCTGCCGCTCTAGGTGCTAGTACGTCTGTCGCTACAGGTGCTCACGTGTCTGCTACCCCAGGTGATGGTGAGGCTGCTGCCCTAGGTGCTAGTGCGTCTGTGCCCCCTGGTACTGAGTCGACTGCCGCACTGCACACCTTCACACTGGACTCAGGTGCTTCTCGCTCCTTCTTTCGTGACCGCACTGTCCTTGAGCCACTCGCTCGGCCAGTTGCTGTCTCCCTTGCTGACCCCTCTGGGGGTCCGGTCATTGCGACCTCCTCCACTGTCCTTCCTTGTCCGGCGGTCCCGTCCGGCACGCTGTCAGGTCTCTACCTCCCCTCGTTCTCTACGAACTTGGTGGCAGGTAGTGCGCTCCAGGACGGGGGTGTTCACCAGTTCACCCCTGCCTACGAGCGCGTGACACACTGCACGTGTGCTCGGACGGGTCGCCACCTGGCTACCTTCACTCGAGAGCCGGGGTCGGACCTGTACACACTGACCACTGAGTCCCCTCAGGTAGCTGCGTCCGCGTCTGCGTCTGCGTTAGGTCAGCTGTCCGCCCCCTGCTCGTGTCGCTCTCTGGCGCATGAGACTGTCCTCTGGCACCACCGCCTTGGTCACCCGTCTGTGCAGCGCCTTCGGGCTATGCACAAACGGGACCTTGTTGCTGGTCTTCCCAGGGTGCTTCCTCCCCTTCCCGACTCGCCTGCTCCTCCCTGTATTCCCTGTGTCGAGGGACGGCAGCGCGCCGCTCCTCACTCCTCCTCCTTTCCCCCGACGACTGCTCCCTTGCAGACGCTCCACATGGACGTGTGGGGCCCAGCCCGCGTCCGTGGTCAGGGCCAGGAGAGGTACTTCCTGATTGTTGTTGACGACTTCTCGCGC